TTTTAAATTTTCAGAATCTCCAATCTAGTTAGCGATTACAAACGTTTCTTATTCAAGCTCGTTTAACTTAGTTATATCCTGGACTTTGCACAAATGGTCGCTGACGGCGAATATTCCGATGTACACTTTCTACAATCTAATATTTCACTTTATGAAGATTCTTCTCTGATAGACACTGGAACCTTAAAAATATCTGAGGAGTAAGTTATGGAGATAGGTTGTATTAAAAATTTACATGTAATATAATGATACCGTTAGGCTTATCACTCATACTGGATTATTAAAATACTGAGTTTACTTTCCAATAGTTGGTGAAAAATCAGTTTTGCTCGTGTAAAAAGAATTAAACTAAATAATCGAGAAATCACATTTGTTGTATTTTTATATGTACTGTGTATTTTCTTACATTTCACTTTCCCTCATCCAGGTCACTTATCTTAAAGACAATAAAATCGCAATAAGTTGCTGACAAATCTCCAAAAAACTCATGATAGTTCTCACCAATAGTTAGGCAAAGCTAACTGGATAATTACCCTTGGGCCCTGTGTACGGATTCCAAAGAAATAATATACGTCTAGACCACCTGTTAGCACTGTGCGCAATCCTGACTATTGTTGGAGAAAGTAGGAAGAAAGTTAAGGGCGTTCAAACCAAAACGTGGCATCAGTCCATAAAATCACTAACTTGTGGTCTAAGCTATGTTGGTAGATGCAGACTACTCGGTTGGGGTCCACGTGACTATCGTAACCAATGGTTGGAGACTCTGTATGACATGAAATGCCCTGGTATGGCCGAAAGTGAGATGGGCCAGCCCTCCCTCTCGAAACGCTCTCACACGGCCACGCGTATACAGCCTCTGACAGGGAAGACATACTCACTGCGCTCTCGTGGCGGGGGTGTTGTTTACGAAAACGAGAGGGCGAAAAGCGAATGTCTGGCGCTTTAACCGGATTCCAAACCAATGGTGCACATGGGCTCCAGTATCCTGAAGGAACAAATGGCGTATGGACCAATTTTTGGTCACCGGCTACCATGGGACTGCATCTCCTTACGATGCTCCACTGCCTTGTGGGTTAGACCTTTAGGTCAAAGGCTTGGAGTGTGGCTCCCTAAGATAACCACCTGCTCTAGTCTGGGCACCCGGGCAGTATCACAGCCTACACACACACAAATATGGTGTGGCGCATATATATTTGGTGCCCTCTTGTACCAATATTTATGTGTTGAAATAAAATAAAATACTGTGTGACATGGCTCAGAATCGATCACAATGGCATAGGTGTATACAGTCTTTGTCTTCCCTCAAACTATGAGATTAAAATTGCTTCATATCTTTCTTTCTACGAACTAATTCTTTCTTCCTGTATTATTATATCCTTATATGCAATCTTTCTTTTATATATTACCACCACTGAATTAACTACTATGAATTCGGTGTTCATTTTGTCGTGCTAATGAGGTGTGGCAACTTGGATCATTGTACATATGTGCGTAGTCCTACGTTGTAGCTGACTGACTAAAACGACAGAAATAAGTAAGATGCAACCTGGCGCACAAATATTTATCGATCTTGTTATATTTTTACTATTGACTAAAATTACACATTAATTGTCACTTTTCACTCCACCTCTAGTCTAAATTGAATATTCATAACTATTTAAAAGTTCTCCTTGAAAATAGAAGTAATATTGATTCCTTTATACTTGTAGATGTTTTACATGGGAAGGTACATCAAAACAATTCTTTATTCCTTATTCACAAATAACCTTACATGCTATTGCCAGGAATACGGTAGACCAGACTGGAGATCATCCCAATAATTTGTTTCCTCACCCACATTTATTAGTAATGATCGACGGAGATCGTGTATGGGATTCAAATAATACTGATAATTTATCTGATACGAAGTCACAGAACGAGCAAGATGGCATGCAAATTGATGCAGAAGGTTCAGATGAAGAAAAAGAAGACTCTGATAGTGACCGCGCTCCAGACTGCCCTGGTTCTACGTCCGTCCTCCGCTTGGTTCCACAAGATTCTGCACAGCTCGAAGACATGTATAAAGCACTAGCCGACTGTCAAGCATTAAATCCGGATCCTGAAGATGATAATTCAGACTTCGAGGGTTTCGCAGAAGATGATGAATATGAAATTAATGATCAGGGTATGGAATTCGAAAACCATACGAATAGTGAGTTATATTACTAAATAGTTGAACGAATTTCTGTGATAAGTTTATCATCTTTTCCAAACGAGTTAAATAACCACTAAGGCAACGTGAAGCCATTGTGAGAAGTAATCTTAAGTGCATAGTTCGGTTTAATTTCTTGCTACATACCTTTGACAGTAGGAGGATTTGTGGAGATTTTATTATGTTTAACAGTTCAATTCACGAGTCGATCTACGCTGGATCACCATCGAAGACCTGAAAACACTGAACAACCGTTTCGTCCCAGTATGGAACTCCTTGTCTAGTGCCTCCAGGTTTTCAATGTTGGTCTAGCTCAGATCGACTCGTGAATTCAACTGTTAAAAATATTTCTTATTACTGTTCAAGGTTTTTACATCTCATCCTCTTTCTAGAAGTCCACACCTATCATACTGTTCGAAATTTACACTTCGTTGTTACAAACATATTGACCTAAAATAATGTTACACTACAAAATATAAAACTAATGTCATAAAATGATATCCTGACTTTAAAAAATCGTGAACTCGCCTATTTATCCCGGCTTACCAACAACCTTACATGCATACCCATGTGCTGTCTTCTAATAACTAGTGATTACTTCCTTTGATACTCATTGGTTATTTGAGTCATGCTCTTTTGAAATAATGAGTTTTAATGGCATAACAAATAATTAGACAAATCTTCATCGAATCTCATTCATATGATTCATGGTAATTGTGAAGGTGTTCGTAAGTTATACGTTGCATAACCATATTATTTTATCGCACAATTTCCTCTTTAACACTTCAATAGTTAATTCAAAGTTAGTTTTGTCGGTGACTGTTTAGCTATGTTAAACTGATCATTTTTCTGATTGATTATTTGTTTTTGATTGAGATCATGAACCGATTGGTGTTAGACCACCACCTTTGGAAACCTGGAAGCACTGGACGGCCATTTCGTCCTATTGTGGGACTCCTCAGTAATGCACATTCCTCCAAATAAAAGTTTTTAGCGTCAGTTATTGTTTGATACAGTTTTATAATATATAATCCTACATCCTACGAAGCCAAAACTGTTTTCTGACTTTATTCAGACTAAAGTGCAGTTGTCTAGGTGCGACTTAGCTGTATGATGGGTGTCCCCAATATCTCATATCGAAACAAATTCAATAAAATAATATATAACGCAGCCCTCATTTCAGATAGTTTTGACTTTTTAAGGGTATAATTATGTTCCCAATAATTCGGTTCCATAACGATAATGACATTATGTCAAATATACGCCACTAGGAACAATGGCTTAGTGGTTAATTCAATTTTTCAAGCAGTTGGTCACAGGTTTCCGCCTGCCTTGACTTAGGGAACTGGATAGTAAATCAAATCCTAGTACATACATTTGTATTTTATAAATAAACTAAATATTGGTGAATCTCATCATGAACTATAGTCGACGACATTTATTTGTTCGTTATTTTCAATAATTAAAAATTTCCACCGCTCGTTTTTCAAAACAAATTGTAGATAATGGAAGATTCGGTGAACCGGACCAGTTCGCAGATGCCTAGCACTTTTTTGTAAATTAATTGATGTATTTTGTAATTAACGATTTAAAACAAATATATTTCCTATTTTATTGAATATTGTTTTCTTCTTCAGTAAGCACATAATACCTAGTTATCTTCAAAATCATGGTAAACTAGAATCCATAGTTATAAGGTGGAACCCTACATAGACAAAAATAACTCGAGAGGTATCAAACGAAGGTCTTGGATTGAATTAATACCTAAAGTCTTCAATAAAATTATCAACACAGTTCGGCGAGCTGATTTATATATTTTCTTTTACCTTACATGCAAATGATCCCTTCATAAACAATTGTTATTTTGTATTGACTGGACTTCTCTGTCGTAGCAATTCGTTCAAGATCAAATCCCCAAAGATTAGTGACTGTAAATTGTACTGTGCTAGGGCATGTATGCTGGGAAAGGGACGAACAGCTGCACAGTAAAGAACTTACAGCACCAATTCTTCTAGTAGTACTGGGAATTTACTCGAGAATATTCAAAAGCCAGAACACCAGTTGTTGGGATAGTGAGTGTATTAATGATAATTAATAAAATTCGCGAGCACGCAAAAGCCAAGTGCATTGGGAAGCAAGAGTGTAAAGGTTGAGAAATCCATGTATTTTATGAGTGCTAATTAACTGTGGGTAAGTCGTTGATTGTCTGTGTAAACAAACAATGGGGGGATAGATAGAGATTGAGCTCAATTAGGCTCACACATACTTTTACATAGCGGGTTAATTGTCTAAATTACAGCAGGTGGTAGGTGATAAAAAATTCAATGAGCTTACTGCTGAATTCCAAAATAATGCAAAAAGTATCAAGACAATTGATAATCTACACAAATAGAAAATTGCGGGACTTTACTTAAGCAGTCAGTAGGATGTGTGTTCGAGTTTTGGTCTCGTAATCGACAATTATAAGTAGCCAATAGTTCCAAATATGATAGATATAATTCAAAGTAAATAATCACGTAATGGGAATGTCTGCAAACGCAAATAACGGCAACTGATAAGTGAGAACAAGAAGTATATGTGTGCAGCAATGTATCTAGGAACGAAAATCAGCGTTTTATGCGAGCAGAGAAGAGAATGGTGTCAGAAGATCAAACCTAAACAACCATTTAACAGTCAATAACAGTAATTATATATACATAACAATCTCCATAGTAACCGTCATAATTATGAAACTAAAAACCTTGGCGGAAAAATCTACTATTGAGTAAAACACAAAGTTTATAATAGAAAAATCTTTCTTTTTTTGATTATGGTTAAGTAATAAATTTGTTTATTATGTTATTATTCAAATACGATTTTTTTTACAATACACATCTAACTCTCATATTCAAGATAAGAATTGAACTCTTCAAAGTATGGAAAAAAAGATTGTACTTCATATATTCCATTCAATCATCATTATCCCTCTTTCAATTTTATTGAACAAAATTGTTTGTTTGGTTCAATGTGAATAAAAATCTCAATTAAGGCAAATTAAATTACAAAAAGATTTCTCACATTATTTTAGATCAACAACACCAAAATTTAGTCAATTCATTATGGATTATACAAATAAAAAACAAAAATACAAGTAATACTTATTTTTTTAAAAAAAAGATGTTTTCCATATGTCATTAAGATATATCTCTATGTAAGTCATAGATCTAAGCTCAAAATTATTGTTTATGATATTTGTGGAGATCTTCTAGAGAAAAATAACAAAATCAATATTTGGAAAGAACGTTGAACATGATAATTAAAATTTACTAATGACAATAAAAACAGCAACAATTGGAGATAGATGTATACAATAATCAATAATTGTCTTTGAGATAATAGATGCATGTTATAATCTCTTTCTTACGGTTACAACCCAGCTATTCCTATTGCTTAGTCCCCAAATCAGAACACGGTTGAACAGGAAAGAGATTATATTCCAAACAACAAGGTTAGATGGAAGTAAGCAGTGCAAGAGGGAAAACGTTAGTATATTTATAGTTTTTACATAAGATTCTAAAGTACTCTCCAAGTGTCGGCTGTTGCTGATTGGATAAGAATTAGCCAATCAGCGTGCAGCAAAGCAATCGTGCATTGAGCATGCTTTAATCCACTATGTCCCGCTAACAATACATCTTTAAAATATAAATGTAATATTGAACACTTGTATAATATAGGTTCAGAAGAAAAAAACAGCAAAGAAAAGTATATTTATCCAATTTTTACTCAAATGTGACTAAATCATACGTCAAGCTCATTAAAGATAGGCCTAACAAGTATTTTCTTCCTTCAAACATGTTCGCACTACATACGACACGTTCAATAGCACGAACGGCGGCAAAATGGTCTCCACTATATGTCATCACCTGCTTACATCAATCCAAACGATAGACATTCACACGCTTTGTTCAATATATTTGAAAAAAAACATAGTTTCGAGGACAAATGTTCTACGTAGTTCCATAGTCCGATAACTAAGACTGGACATAGAATGAATGCAATAAGTACATTTAAGCTAACCAACAAAACAGCCTAATTCTAGATCATTCAAATTTGTGAATTATAGCCCAAACCTGCCCTTTATATTCAAAAAATCAGTGATGCCTCCCTCAAATTCCCGACACAATGTATTCCATGGTCTCTCTTTTCTATTTCCCTTCAGGATTCCAAATTAGGGCTTGTTTCATGATGCGGTCTGATGATTTTCATAATCTTCATCCTACCAACCTGTAAAGTATTTTCTCTACAGCCAGAGCTAGCTTGTTTTCTCCCACAGCAGCTTGTTGTTAATGACATCTAGTCAATGGATATTGAGTATCTTGCGTGTTCTTAAATTCTTGTACATTATTGATGACGGTTGTAGTAGTTCTTCACGTTTCAGCTCCGTACAACAGAACTGTCTTGAAGTTTATATCGAAATTCTGACCTTGATGTTGGCTTGCAGACAGTTGTTCCACATGTTCACATCTTCTTCAATTGTGGGAATACTGCTCCTTGTCAATCTCTGCACCCACACATGCATCAAGTCCTCCAAATTACAAATGACGCTGACCAGATATCTGAAGGTCTCCACCTCTTCCAGAGCATCTCCATCAATTGTAATTGTGTTGGTGCTGTGTTGTATTTCAGGATCTTGCTTTTTTCTTGTGTATGTTGATGACTACTTTTGCACATACGGTTACTAAACTGACTGTCTTCACCTTTATGTGTTGGTTTACGATAGAAGATCTAGGTCATCTGCCAAATCCAAATCGTCTAGCTACAACAAAGCGGTCTATTGTGACAAAGTTACCATAAGGTTTTACTCTCCACTGAGAAAAATCCTTTCTCGTAGTTAAGGACCTTACAGTGTAGTGGCTTGTCTTCGAAATAAATCCTTAGGTTACGTTCATCAATCACCCTGATAACCGTTATTAAGTAAATTCCGATGGCGTATGAACTCAGAAGGCAAAAACAAGCAGCGATTACAGTTTATTAGCGGATAGCACATTCAAGTGACTGCTCAATAATAATCTATGGTATTCTACGTAACCTTTCATCTGATTCAACAACATTGTTGAAAACTTTTCCCGGTAGTGATAGTCTATACTACTTATGCGTGTCGACGCCAGTCGGAAGTAGGAAACATGGCAGCAGAAGGCTTAAAAATCGAGTTGGGGAAAACAGAACGAGGATAGAAAGGGTGTATGACTTGGAAAAATCGTTCAGAATGTGAAAGACAATTGATGAGAGATTTGTAAATGAAGTAATTTGTGGCAAGCCCATTTGACTACTGTATCATTTATCTAGTCATTGTAACTCAGACTCAATTCACTATGTTAATTTCGGTGTGTATGATCGAAAGTATGTCTGTACATTAACGCTTAAGCTATCTTCCTATTGGTCTCAATGTTCAGATAATCGATAATCTATCCACACCCGATTAACTCTCAAATACATATGGATTTTTAACAGACTCACACACTCTCTCTCTGTTTCATCGTGTGCTTGCTCACCGTACGCTTGTGGGTTATTATCATTCATTAACAATAAACTATCTCTATAACTGGTGTTCAGGCTTTTTAATAATCTCGAGTATATTCGCAACTCTACTAGGAGATTAAGCCTACCAAAAATACTCAGTTACAGGATATTATTATTTGGAGTCAGATATTGAGGACATTATCCTCAACAAATTAATGTACGTTTTTCACGTTTTACGAATTCTGTAATTTTCTCCAAACAATAAATTCGTTGTCCCCACCAGAGTTCTCATCCGCTACAACACTAATGTGATGCTTTAGTAATCCTCACACTTTCTCGGTATCCTTCTTTACAGTCTGTTGGCACTTATTCTTCCTCACAAGTCTTTCTCAATAAGACGTGGAGCATGTTTGCAGTTACTCCTATTTCTAACTTTAGTGCTTCAACAGGTGTGTTATCTAGTCCTGATACTTTCCCACTCTTGCTATGTCTGATACCCATGCCGATTTTTTCGGTCGCTGGTCGAGTGACATTCATAGGGAAATCAGTGTGTGGTACTTCGACGTCTGGTGGGTTAGGCGGAGTTGGTTTATTCAAGAGCTATTCAAAGTATTCTCACCTGTTCCTCTGTTCTTGAATCTCAGTCATCGGTTTGCCTTCTGTGTTCGTGACTAGTCACTTTAGTTTACTATATTTCCTCACCAGTTTATTCATTGTACCATGTATTTCTTTCACATTTCCTTCATTTGCATCTTTTTCCGCTACCATTGCTAAACCTTACACGCATTTCTACTTGTCGAATCTACAGTTCTTCTTCACCCTCTTGTTTTTTCTGTGTATTCGGTCTGTGCCTTGGCCTTTTCTGATAGTGTTCGACAGTGGTTAAATGCTGTCTTCTGATCTCATGCCCGACACCTTATCATTTTTCGGGCTTTGGATCGGCAGTAACCGTGGCAGCGTTATAAGAAGAGCCGTGAATAGTGCGTTACAGACTAGAGCTGAGGTATTACAAATACCCTACATTAATAATAATCACGTGTGCACTGGTGACTAGCTTCAGGATGCAACTTCTAGGACTTTGGTGAGAAACCGAGACCAGTGGAGTTTTATCGGTGTCGAGTGTGAGACAGTTATCCACCGCAGACAATTAATGAAGGTTGCACAATATCGTAAACCAGTTGTAGTCATTAACGCCGTTGGATGCTAAGTCAATGATCCAAAGGTTTAGCGTCAGCACATGTAACCGAAGTCCCTGGGTTCGATTTCCAAGGAGGCAGTTGTAAATGCGGACTCCTTTACTAGGACGAAACGGTAGTCTAGTGCTTTCAGATTTTCAATGGTGGTCGATCTAGTTGAGATTAGTTCATGATTTAGACTGGAAAAATTAAATCTGAACTAGTATAGGGGTTGTGGAGATTATTAAGTTTTTGATTGAGATCATGAACCGATTGATGTTAGACCACCACCTTTGGAAACCTGGAAGCACTGGACGGCCGTTTCGTCCTGTTGTGGGACTAACATCAGTCGGTTCATGATCTCAATCAATAACTCTGAACTGTTTTTACATTCGAAAAACATCGTTTCTTGTTTAACAATTAGTTTTTTTCGAATACCAATGTGTCGCAGTAATTCAGGACAGTCAAACTTATTAGCAACTGAAGAAAAAGTAAAGAAACAAAATGAGTACTGTAATTAATGCAGTTTTTGTTTTATCTAAATTTGCAAAGGGAACCGAATGTATGAAAATAACACTAGTGATACACACACATGATTCACATCATAACAAACAGTAGAAATAAAGACATTTGCAAGGTATGGAGTACTGTCTTTGGGCTGGAAAACGTTAGTTCATATTTCTATATTTAATAAACAGTTTAGTTGAACAGGTCGTGTGGAGCTTAGTTTAATCTGTATTCGTCAAAGGCCGATTTTATTTGGGCTGTCATTAAAAAGCAAGGGACATTAATACAACAACTGAGATCGTTTTGTATTGAATATTAACTTACAAATTAAAGAAATAAGTCAAGTTATAAGATAATAGTCAGGAGTTTATTAATCAGAAGTACAAATCATTTTCAAAACTCCAATCCAGCTGGAATAATAATAGTAATTATCTATATGAGAGAATACAAATAAACAACATAGAAGATATTAAATATATTATAAAAGTTACAGTCAAACATCAATTTTGTAAACTGTGTATAGACACAATAGGCAAACAAATATACACCATAAAGCTATTATAATAAAACACATGCTAAAAAAGTAAAACATGCTTAAGCAAAGGTCACATTTATCTTGGCAATGAACATTAATATAAGGCAAATTAGAGGAGTAAAAACCATAAACAAACAGTGATAGCTAATACACTCACTAGCATTCCTAATGAACAGCATAGTTGTACAAGAATTTATTGGAATTTACGAAGATTACATACTTGTGTGTATTTAATAACTATTTCAATAGATATAAATGCAACACAAACAATAATGAAAGTGAAAATAAAATCATGAGTACTTAATTTTATTTAATTAATTAATAATAATTCAATTTTATAATTAATGTTTACTTAGTGTACACTAGAAATGCTCTGGTAAACCGAGAGCGGAGAGAATAAGCTCTCTCTCTCTCGAAATGCTTTCAAATGGCCACGTGCATACAACCACTGACAGGGAAGTCCTACTCACTGAATTCACGCCGCAATACTGTTGTTTACGAAATTCAGAGGACGAAAAGCGAACGTCCGGTGCGTTAACCGGGTTGGTGGATATGGAGGATTCATCTAGGGAAGTTAGGAAACCCTGACTTCGAACCAATGGTGCACATGGGCTCCAGTATCCTGCGGGAACAAATGGCGTATGAACCAATCGTTGGTCACCGGCTACCATAGGATTGCATCTCCTCACGATGCTCCACTGCATTGTGGATTAGACCTTTAGGTCAAAGGCTCGGGGTGTGGCCCCCTAAGAGAACCACCTGCTTCGGTCTGGGCACCCGGGTAGTATCACACCCCTCACACAAATCGAATGATTTATGTGGCGCATATCTGTTTGGTGTCTCCTTGTACCAATGTTTATGTGTTTAAATAAATAATAATAAATTTGTGAACACTATAAATCATTATGTTTCATCGAGAAAGAAAAGAATGGCATAAGTGATAAATGCAGTCTCCTCAACACGTTAACAAGTTCAAGAGATCAAAGAGTTTAAAAGTTACCACATAGTTTACATCAATTTATACAATTGAATATAATAACTCTTAATATGTTATTAAGTTATAGATTGTATGATGAAAGGATATTTTAGTAAAAGTATACTATACTGACGACTTTGTATGACTGACTTATTAGCCAATCAGAAAACAATGCCTAGTTTAGTTATAAAACAATGAAAAGTAATAACATTACAGTGGAATAATACTTTTGATATGATTGATTAACGCTTACACGTTTAATTATTCTTTATAGCAAAAGAAAATAGTTAAGTTCACATATTAGTAGTTAGGCTAGTGTTATATATTTAGGTTGTAATACTATAGGGTTTTCGTCACTAGCTGACTTCAACCATAATGCAGTAAAGCTTCGCTAGCTTTTTGTTTATACACTTAAGAAAGTTAAAGGTGAGATTATAAGTGAGCAGTTAGAATAGGAGAGTATTATCTAACTACACAAATAACTGTAATAATACGTTAAACCATACTGAATAATCGAACAAAGAGTAAACATCAGGACCAGACATTTCTCGTAATTTAGCACACACACCACGTGTTAAGTTTGTTTTACATTGTTCTTACTCGCTACTCTTCCACTCTTTTGTGTAGTGTTTCATACTACATATTTACATTAAGTAAGTAGTTGTACACCCAATAATTTTTAGACTTATGTTGTAACGTCAGTTCGTCGTGTAATATTCTGAAATATTTACATATACGTTTCTTGTATCTATCATTATAATCACTGTAACAGTTATCTACAGTTTTGTGTATTTGTTTAAACGCAAAAGTTTCCATATTGTTTTGCTTTTGGTCCGGGTTTCGATTGCTGATAAACTGTTACCAAGTTTAGACACAGCTATCATCTGTCTTTTGTACTGTCCTATATTGTAACTATTCTTTATGTTACCGTTACATAAAGTCATTTTTTCCATACAAAAGAACGCGTTAAACGCCATAGATACCTCACAAGTTGGAGTTTGTAACTAATTTTTGTGTATTATTCAATAAAGAACCGCTATTCTAGACAAATCGTTGTTTTGAGAACTTCAATTTTGTGCATATCTCAATTAGGTGACCTGGACGCTTCGATAGATCTAACACCATGTCATATCCAATATTTGATTGAATACTAGATTCTTTTTCCTTAGTTCCAAGCATATGAAAAATCAAATAATATCAAGTTTCACGTAGTTCATAATAAACATATAAGCTATATTTTATTGCACTTTCCATTTCGCGCAAAAATTTATGAGGTGCTATCTTACATTTTGATTAGCTCACTCAAGGCCGTTAGTATGGTATACTTTTACCTATATTTTTACTATATACAGCTGCTTTATAATAACCAATTGTACAGGGTTCTTACATGTATTACATATGTGAGTATAGGTTAAATAAATTGAAATTTTAAAGGTTTTATTGTTCAATTTCATACAGATTAAAGGACATAGAACTCCTGGTTTAAAATCCTTATATACCAATGAAAACAGTTTAAATCTACTTAAATTTCCAATAACATTTTTATTTATTCATTTATTTATTTATTTATTTAAACACATAAACATTGGTACAAGGAGACACCAAACAGATATGCGCCACATAAATCATTCGATTTGTGTGAGGGGTGTGATACTACCCGGGTGCCCAGACCGAAGCAGGTGGTTCTCTTAGGGGGCCACACCCCGAGCCTTTGACCTAAAGGTCTAATCCACAATGCAGTGGAGCATCGTGAGGAGATGCAATCCTATGGTAGCCGGTGACCAACGATTGGTTCATACGCCATTTGTTCCCGCAGGATACTGGAGCCCATGTGCAACATTGGTTTGGAATCCGGTTAAAGCGCCGGACATTTGCTTTTCGTCCTCTCATTTTCGTAAACAACACCCCCGCCACGAGAGCGCAGTGAGTATGTCTTCCCTGTCAGAGGCTGTCTACGCGTGGCCGTGTGAGAGCATTTCGAGAGGGAGGGCGGTCCCACCCCACTCTCGGCCATACCAGGGCATTTGGGGGCTCCAATAACATTGGCTACTAGTAGTGAAATTTATGAGAAAAAAAGTAGTTAATTATAAGTGTTTAGCTTTTATTATAAGAGACTGACTTAGAAACTTTCTATTTCCCCCATTAACATTGTTTTGTTAAGCAAACTACTTAAATGAGGTCCATGTAATTATCGTAACCAAGAGTTAGAGATTTTGGATGAAATGGCTCAAAATTATTCATTATTTGTCTTTCTCATAGATCTTAAATTTTTAAATTCTTTGTTTGTTTATCATTCCACTAATTTATATTCTCTCTAATCGCATGTTAGATTACTATTTTTTCTATTACTAACACTTACTAATTCTACCATTTCTGGAATTTGTACTGACATTCTCATTCCACTGTGCTTTTGAAGTATCCCAATTTGCGTCGATGTAAATATGTCCCAGGTTATACGTTGCGTATGACTGACTGACGGACTATTTTACACTGAATTTCTAAACTTTATCGTCCCACTTCAACAATACATTGAAGTACATTTACAGAGTCTATGTCTATGTAATTCATGAATCCATTTGTTAAGTAGTCAACAAGATGGTATTTTCCAAGTTAATTTTTTTAGAAAAAAAAACAACCATGAACTGAAAAGTGGAACTAAAGTGACTGACAAATAACCTAAACTAGAGATGAAGCGCAAATCCAATGTCAATCAATCTCACCTACTTAATGCATTGAACAATATGATGTACGATAAATGCCATAAATGAGTGTTTATTTGTAATTGTGATTCAATTATCAGATACTTATACACCATGGACTAAAACGATCCTTTTGATTATTATAGTTACTACATTGATTTCTGCTGTGATCTTGCCTACGCTAACAATGAGAAATTTATAAAACCAGTCAACTTGCAGGGTAATGGTCGATTCCCTACTCGAAATCTTCACTTGCCTCAAAATTATCAATCAGAACACTAGAACAGCCATCTCAGTACTGTGTAGAACTCGTTTGTATAAAATACATGACGATGATGTACTATAAATAATTAACTGGGATGTGTACGTACCAAACACATTTTTGGTAATAAGTGAACGGAGATAGTAGACAGGATACCTTGGACATAGGTTTCTTGTTAGTCGGCTTACTTACTTACTTACGCCTGTTACCCCCAATGGAGAATAGGCCGCTGACCAGCATTCTCCAACCCACTCTGTCCTGGGCCTTCTTTCCTAGTTCCATCCAATTCTTGTTCATTTTTCTCATGTCTATCTCCATTTCTCGGCGTAATGTGTTCTTTGGTCTTCCTCTTTTCCTTCGACCTTCAGGATTCCATGTGAGGCCTTGTCTTGTGACGCAGTTGAGTGCTTTCCTCAATGTGTGTCCTATCCACTTCCAGCGCTTCTTCCTGATTTCTTCCTCCACTGGGATCAGGTTTGTTCTCTCCCACAGTACGTTGTTGCTAATAGTGTCCAGCCAATGGATCTGAAGTATTTTGCGTAGACAATTGTTAATAAACAATTGTATTTTCTGGATGATGGTTTTCGTAGTTCTCCAGGTTTCCGCCCCACACAGTAGAACTGTCTTGACATTTGTATTGAAAATCCTGACCTTGGTGTTGGTTGACAGTTGCTTTGAGTTCCAGATGTTCTTCAGTTGTAAATATGCTGCTCTTGCTTTGCCGATTCGCGCATTCACATCTGCATCACATCCACCCTGTTCATCAATGATGCTGCCCAAATACGTAAAGGTTTTTACATCTTCCAAATCTTCTCCGTCAATTGTGATTGGATTGGTGCATGCTGTGTTGTATCGGAGAATCACACTTTTCCCTTTGTGTATATTGAGACCTACTGCTGCTGAGGCTGCTGCTACACTGTTCGTCTTCTCCTGCATCTGTTGTTGCGTTTGGGATAGAAGGGCCAGATCGTCTGCGAAGTCTAGATCATCCAACTGCATCTTAGATGTCCATTGTATCCCGCGCTTCCCTTCAGACGTTGACGTCTTCATGATCCAGTCGATCAGCAGGAGAAAGAGAAAGGGTGAGAGTAAGCAACCTTGCCTAACACCAGTCTTCACTTCGAACGACTTTGTCAACTGTCCTCCATGCACGATTTTGCAGTGTAATCCATCATATGAGTTCTGTATGATATTGACTATCTTCTGAGGCACGCCGTAGTGTCGAAGAAGTTTCCATAGTGTTGTTCTGTCCACGTTATCAAATGCCTTTTCGTAGTCAATGAAGTTGATGTAGAGTGATGAATTCCATTCAATTGATTGTTCCGCAATGATCCGTAGAGTTGCAATTTGGTCTGTACACGATCTATCCTTACGGAATCCTGCCTGTTGGTCACGAAGTTGGGCGTCTACGCAGTCCTTCATCCTGTTTAACAATACCCTGTTGAAGACTTTTCCCGGTATTGAGAGAAGAGTGATGCCCCTGTAGTTATCACACTTGCTGAGATCGCCTTTCTTCGGTATTTTGATTAGAAGTCCTTCTTTCCAGTCTGTTCGTACTTGTTCCTCATCCCAAATCTTATTGAAGAGAATGTGGAGTATCCTTGCAGTCGCCGCTAGGTCTGCTTTTAGTGCCTCTGCTGGAATGTTGTCTGGTCCTACTGCTTTGCCACTCTTGATTTGTCTGATGGCCATGCTGATTTCTTCAATTGTTGGTGGGCCAACATTAATTGGGAGGTCCGTGGGTGCTGCTTCGATGTTGGGTGGGTTCAGTGTGGCTGGTCGATTCAAGAGTTCTTTGAAGTGTTCTACCCACCTGTTTTGTTGCTCTTCAATGTTGGTGATTACCTCGCCTTCCTTGCTTTTCACTGGTCGTCCTGGTTTGCGGCGATTTCCAGAGAGTTTCTTTGTCGTGTCATACAATTGTCTCATGTTTCCTTCTCTTGCAGCCTTTTCCGCCGTCGTTGCTAAATCTTCCACATATTTACGTTTGTCGGTTCTGATGCTCCTCTTCACTTGTTTGTTTATTTCCGTGTATTCAGCTTGTGCCTTGGCTTTTTCTGCTCTTGTTCGACTGGTATTGATCGCTGCCTTCTTGTTCCTCCTTTCTTGAATCTTATCCAGTGTACCAACAGTGATCCATTCCTTGTGATGGTGCTTCTTGTGACCCAGGACCTCATGACATGTTGAAGTGATTGCCTCTTTGATCCCCTTCCAGTTGCTCTCCACAGTAGTTCCTTCTCCATTGAGTAGATCATGAAAGGCCTGGAACTTGTTGCTGAGGACTATCTTGAATTTGTTGAGTTTGTTAGTATCCTGGAGAAAGGCCGTATTGAACTTTTGTGATATTGCCCGCCCCGTTGTCCAGTGTTTCTTGAGTTTCAATTTCATCTTGGCGACCAGCAAGTGATGATCTGATGCTATATCAGCTCCTCTCTTGGTTCTCACGTCCTCTATAGTCCTCCTGAACGTTTTGTTGATGCAAATATGGTCGATTTGGTTTTGTGTAGAGTGATCCGGTGAAGTCCATGTGGTTTTGTGTATGCGTTTATGTGGGAATATGGTGCCGCCTATGACCAGCTTATTGAAGGCACACAGATTTGCAAATCTCTCACCATTTTCGTTTCTTTCTCCCAGTCCGTGTCGTCCCATGATGTCGGCAGTCGTCAGAAAATGGTACCTCAAAACTTCAGAGAACTGATTATTCATATAGGATTCAAACTTGTGCAATCCGGCTTGATAGCCCGACACACTAACAGCGAGCTATTCGGGCAGCGACTAACCTCCTTGAACAAGCTTGAAGGTTCGTCTTATTGACGAGTAACAACTAGCGTGGAACCTAGTTCCAGGGTGTTGTTGTCAACTACTTCTGATCATCTAACATCAAAACATAATGCACATGATGTTCAGTCACGTAGATTATCGTCCCCATTGCAAATTGATTGATGAAATTCGGTCAGTAATAAAAAACTGGACAAACACAATATTGGTCACTGTTCGGTGAAAAATCAATTTACATTTATGGTATAAATCTGCGTATTATGTTTACAATTAATTAACAATAATGTACTACCTGCCAAAGATTTGGTAATAGTTAACGAATAAAACGAAAATTTACAACTGGAAGATCTAAAAACACTATAAGCCCAATGCTTACTAAACAAACAAAAAAATACATAGACTAATTCACGAGATAAGAACTTTCATATTTTCATTGATCTGTCCAGCAGTAATAACCTCACAATTTGATAGTTGGACTTTACACACAATTATTCATATAGCTGTATTAAAAACTATTTAGAAACAAACTTACTTTGCACTCGTTGAAGATGTCCTTCGTCGGTGCAGATTTGAACTATTCCAAAATAATACACTTGGTCTACGTTCGGTAACATCAATATTTGCTAACGAGCCAATAAATTTATCAGCTCCTTCTGATGCGTCCAAATTGGCTTCTGCAGCACCGCCATCAGTTGCAATTTTTGTCCAGTCTGGTAGTACAATGTCTGTAGTATTCCAGTATGCATCACGTACAAGATCAGGATGCTCATGATGCATTCCATCGACAATTAGATAAGAAACCTACTCAAAAGATTTCCGAAAAAGCGCTGTATCCAGTCAATCGAAGCTGTGATTAGCCAGCGAGAAAAAACACACATAATATTGTATTATATATAATTGACTTATATTTTAATGTGAAGAATTTGATTCTATAGTCAGCTGTACACAATGTAGAATCTAGTAAATATATTCTTTCGTTCAGGTTACTACACTACATCGAAACAGAGGAATTCCAGTGTAGTATAATTACTAATATCAGTGGTAGTAGAAGAAAACTAGGTATAAAAGATATGATTTAAGGAAATACGGATCAGTGGAATTAGAAAATCATGAGAATGATCAAGAGAATCACCATGAAACATGTCACTCAACATGACAAATCACGAAATAAACAAACGGTTTTGTGTGTACAAAATTATCACAGTTGGGCCACCATCTAAGCGTTAATTCAATATTTCATATATCAATTTTACTGACAATATTATCCATACTTTTCACAAAAAAATCAAGTATTCGATTTTAAGTTACATATTTCTTTTTTGTGTAATGAGTACGAACTAGTGGCAAATCGGTTGAAAATCAAGTATTCACAGTAATAAGCTAATAGTATAGAGCTATTGAATTTGGATGAGATTTTCTTAGTATGTTGTATTTATACAAATTACAATCAGTCAGTCAGCTACAACGTAGGACTACGCACATATGTACAATGATCCAAGTTGCCACACTACATCAGCACAACAAAATGAACACCGAATTCATAGTAGTTAATTCAGTGGTGGTAATATATAAAAGAAAGATTGCATATAAGGATATAATAATACGAAGAAAGAATTAGTTCGTAGAAAGAAAGATATGAAGCAATTTTAATCTCATAGTTTAAGGGAAGACAAAGACTGTATACACCTATGCCATTGTGATCGATTCTGAGCCATGTCACACAGTCCCCAACCATTGGTTACGATAATCACGCGGACCCCAACCGAGTAGTGTGCATCTACCAGCATAGCTCAGACCAGAAGTTAGTGACTTTAAGCACTGATGCTACGTTTTAGTTTGGCCACCCCTAATTATACAAATTAAATAGACTACATATCAAGTTTATTAAACCAACTTATCTAGAACAGAATTATTGAATGTAAATTTTTATTCGAATAGGTACCAAGTATGCACCATGAACGAGGCTTCATCAAACTATATTGAAATAGTTCAATTCATCGAGTATCACGATTTAAAATTGGTTGATGTACAATTTTTAAATACTGTCATACAGACAGTCAATGTTGTTATCAATGAATGAACGAAAAAAATATAATTTGCACTTTTAAAGAGAGCAAGAACAAAGATTGGTGCAGAATAATAAATGGATTCATTTTATTTCGGTAGGTTCTCATCAGTTGTTTACAACCTAAAATATTTGAAAATCAACGTTATTACAGATATTGACAAACTTATAATTACGAAGGTGATTAGAGATGATTATTTGTATCAACAGTTAATAAGGTCATAGGGATTCGTTTCGGATAAACAAAGTTTGGGAGGGAAAGTTCTAGAACATTGAAACAGTGTATAGAACTTATAGAGTTAACAAACATCAAGTGATTGTGTAATTAAGAAACTGAATTGAATTAAAGAAAAATGACAATGATGCAATTAAACTTCAGAAAGAGTTGAAATAATGGATGACGTAAGGGGGTTTAATGTTACCAGGGTAAAGAAAAACTTATTACTTTCTCTTTTTCTATACATAGATCTGGTTTAAGACGTTTGTGAGTTAGACCTTTAGGTTAAAGGCTCGGGGAGTGGCCCCCTAAGATAACCACCTGCTTCGGTTTGGGCAGCCGGGCAGTATCACAGCCCACACACAAATTGATGAACTCTTTATGCCTATGGAAATTACCTTTCTCGCTTTGGAAAACAAACAATTGATTCGGATTATTATCATTACAACTATTGTCATTATTAATACTATTATTATTATTACTACTATTATTGTTATTATTATTATTATCATTATTATTTTCCACATTATTCACCCTCTTTTATACTTATACAGCGGCTCGTCTTTGGTGGAAATTCGGTTCTATCTAAACGTTCTCGAGTCACTGTCCGGTTGAAATTTGTATGTTACCACCGAATACGAGGACTGAAGCAGTTTTTCTAAAACTACGTGCACCATTCAAACTGGCTGCCTTCAACGTTCGCACATTTATGCAGGTCGGACAACAGATAGGTCTGGCTACGTCTTTGGAAAGTCTTAAAATCGACGTGCGTTGTCTATCCGAGACCCGTATTCAAGACTCTGGCGAAGTACTACAAATTCGATCTCCATCTGTCGCTTCAAAAAGCTTGTTTTACGTGCGTTTATCCGGGGACCCTGTGGCATCTTCGTCTGGTCTTGCTGGCGTTGGTGTCGCACTGAGCGCTAAAGCTGAAGCAGCACTAATCAATTGGATCCCTATTAACAGTCGGTTATGCGCTGTTAGATTAGAAAGTTCCATCAAAGTGAGAAGAAATCGGCGTGAGAAACGATGTCTTTTCGTCATCTCCGCCTATTCCCCGACAGATTGCAGCCCGGATGCAGTCAAGGATGAGTTTTACCACCAGTTATCAGTTCTCCAGAAAGTGCTAGCCTCTAGGCTAGCTACCACTCCACCGAAAAGTATAGATGAGCATTGGTTGCGATTGCATGACGCCATAAAAATGGCGGGTACAGTCAGTTGTGGGTTCGCGAAACGTCCCGCTTTTAAGCACTGGGTTTCTGCAGGTTCCTTACAACTCATTGAAGCCCGTCGGTCTATTCCGGGTGACCGTGAGTTTGACCATAAACGAAGGATGTTACGTAAGGAAATTGGGCAAAGCTTGCGTAAGGACCGAGAAGCCTGGTGGTCGAAGCGTGCTAATGAGCTGGAAGCAGCTGCTGCATCTGGTAATTACCGGAAGCTCTTCCAACTCATCCGAGCCACTGGCAGCAAGAAGTCTGGTGTGAGTGAAACAATCTGCGAGGATGATGGGATGCCAATCACTAACATCCATCGACGTCTTGGACGATGGGCAGAATTTTTCGAAGGGCAGTTCAACTGGCCTGCTGCTCCGGCAACATCGGTCAGACTGTCCTGCCCTCCATGGCCGGTGACGACTGATCCACCAAATGAGGAGGAAGTCTGCAAGGAACTCCAACTCTTGAAACGTTACAAATCACCTGGCCCAGATGACTTACCTCCGGCTCTTTTTAAAGATGGTGGTGACTTTTTGACTAAGGAATTGACGACGTTGTTTACCAAGGTTTGGGAACTAGACAGTGTACCAACGTCATGGAATGAATCGATAGTTGTCCCTATCTTTAAAAAGGGTTCACGTCGTTCCTGTAACAACTATCGGGGGATAAGTCTACTTCCAAATGCGTCCAAGCTATTGGCTTCCGTCATTCTTCGTAGGTTGTTCAAAACCCGAGAAAGATTGACTCGCAAGGAACAGGCTGGGTTTCGCTCTGGACGAGGATGTATTGATCATATCTTCACCCTCCGTCAAATGTTAGAACACCGCCATACCTTTCAAAGGCCAACAATCGTAGTGTTTTTTGACATCAGGGCTGCCTTCGATTCGTTGGACAGAACTGTTCTCTGGGATTGTCTATTGAAGAAGGGTGTGCCTGAGAAGTTTATTAACATCCTAAAAGCCCTATATACAAACACCTCAGGCAGAGTGAGGGCATACAACCACCTCTCTCCACTGTTCCATTCGAGCAGTGGGGTTAGGCAGGGTTGCCCAATCCCACCATTCCTCTTCAACTTTCCCATCGATGACATTCTGGAAACAGCTCTCATGGATGTAAGTAATGGCAATGTGGATCTGTTGCCTGGAGAAAGACTTCTCGACCTTGAGTATGCGGATGATATTGTCTTACTGTGCGATAATGCCCAAGCCATGCAATCCGCAGTTAATCAGTTGGCAATCAGTGTCCGTAGCTATTGTACGTGTTTTGCACCTTTGAAGTGCAAAGTACTTCTATAAGACTGGTGGGATTCTAATCCTGTACTCACCCTGGATGGTGAGCAGATAGAAGTAGTCGAGAAGTTCGTGTATCTGGGTAGCTGCATAAGTACTGGTGGGGGCGAGTGATGAGACCAATGCCCATTTAATGAAAACTAGGGCGGCTTATGCCAACCTGGGCTATCTTTGACTCCGTGATGTTAGTCTGGCCGTAAAAGGTCGGATCTACAACGCGTCGGTGAGAGCAGTTTTGCTCTATGCTTGTGAAACCTGGCCTCTCCGAGTTGAGGATGTTAGACGACTCTCTGTGTTCGATCATCGCTGTCTCCGAAGGATTGCTGACATCCGGTGGCAACACCATGTTAGTAATGCAGAGGTTCGGCATCGTGTGTTCGGGCACAGAGATGATAATTCAATTGGTGTCACCATCTTGAAACACCGACTTCGGTGGCTTGAACATGTTCTACGAATGTCGTCCCAGAGAATTCCACGTCGTGCATTATTTGCCGACTCTGGGACTGGTTGGAAAAAGCGGAGAGGTGGTCAGTGGATGACATGGTGTCGTGGTATGAAAGAAAGCTGCAAAGGGCTGGCTTCTGTTGGTCCTTCACGACTCCCTGGTTGGGGTCCGAGAGATGGTGCAACACAGTGGCTAGAGACGTTATCAGATATAGCTCAGAATAGAAGCCAGTGGCGATCCTGCTGTAACCTTCTTTTACTTTCTTCATAAAAAGTGGTTGTGTCTCCCTTACCTGAAAGATTTCTTCTGATTGTACCTTTTCGTTCCCTCGTTACTACCACACTACCTTACTCCAATCTCTTCGTCATTGTTCTCTTTTTCTTTTGCGCTCCTTAGTTTTTTTTTCTACTTCTCTTCGAATTCTCATTGTTTTGTGTGGCGCATATATATTGGCGCTCTCGTGTACCAATATTCATGTGTTCAAGTAAATAAATAATAAGACGTTTGATTGCTATGGCTTCGGCAAATTTCAAAAGGTTGGAGTTTTATTGTTTGTTAATCACTTTGA